ATGTTATTAGATTAAAATGTATTAAGCTCTTAATTTAAGTGAAAAATTTCTCAGAACTTGATTTTCCTAGAAACCCTTCCATATGTGTAATAAATAAAAAAATTTTATTTTAAATCTTAATAATTTTTTAATAGTATTACTTAAAATTCTTTAAAATTGATTATAAAATAAAAAGTTGCGTTAAAAATTTTTTCAAATATTGTGGATATAAATACATTTTATTTTATTTATTTATTTTAAAGGACATTTATTTTTAAGCGAAATACTAATATATATTTTTGTGATAAACTTTTTAGTGTTACATTTTTTTAGTAATCTATTTTATTTTATTTTTTTATTACTTTTTATATGATTATGTGATTTATAATATTTTAGATGTATCAATAGTTTCCATTTTCTAGTTTATTATTAAATTATAATATTATTATAGCTTTACAAGATAAAATATTATTTCTATTTATAATAATTTAATGTTAATTAAATTTGCTAGTTTCTATTTATATTTTCTTTATAAATTATTATATTATTTTTATTTTAGACATTTTTTTTTACTTTAATTTATTAAATATTTTATTCTTCTTTTATTTTTCTATAATTTATATATTGATTATTTTTTTTTTTTTACATAATAAGTAACTATTTTTAAAATATTACAGTTTAAAATATTGATAATTCAGAATATTTTTGAATATTTTTGAAATATTATAATTTTTTTAAACTATAATATTTTCAAAATATTTCAGACTTTTTTAGACTTTTTATTTTATATAAAAAAATTTAATATGCATTAATTATTTACTATAAAAATAGTGATATCATTAGATATTATGACATAGCTATAATCCTAAAGATATTAGCAATTGAGTAATAAATAACTATTATATTTTTTAAAAACTAATATCTTTGATAAGAAAAATTATATAAATTATGTAAGTTACATGTTTTTATGATATATCGTATTTCTCTGAAAATAAGCACTCCCTGAAAATAAGCATTATCTTATTTTTAGTATTCAAAAATAAGTACTATCACATTTTTTAGTATCTGAAATAAAATAAATACTAAAACAAACCCGATTTATTAAATATTTTATAAATTTCAATGTTTTTTATTTATTTTATTTAAAAGAATTCTTTGCCATTAATATTTTTTTCATTATTATTAATAATTGTTATCACTATCAATACTACTATTATTGTCATTATCATTTACTATTAATATACCTAAAATTATCGCTAAATTATATCTACTTTCGCAAAACTTATTTTACAGATTCTTTTATATGATCCTAAAAGAAACGTGTTAGAAATATAAAGCATTTATCATTTTTACATAACTTCTGAGATTGAAAATTTAGCAATTTTATTAGTACCCAAAATTAAGCATCTCTATAGCAAAAAAAGGTGCTTAATTTTGAAGGCATACGGTAAATATATTTTTTTATATTATAAAAATTTTTTTTTACAATTTTTTTTTAGAAATTAATTTTATTTTATTTCTTAAAAATAAAATTAAAAAAGACAGTAAAATTTAATACTACTCATGAAATTTTAAACAATCTAAATTTATAATCTAAAATATTAAAAAATACTGATAAGTTACAGATTCAAAAATAGTAAAAAATTAACTTGAATTCTTTAAAATTTTCAAAGAATATCATTGAATTTTACTTACAAGATAATTAATATAAGATTTTATTAAATCTTATTTCAGATATATCTATAATAAAAAATCAAGTAATAGGTTTTATTACTATTATAAAAAAAAAGATGAAACTAAATATAAAGTATTATCAATAATATAGCTATTAATTGGATTAATTAATATTTAATAGAATTTTCAACTATTTATGAAATCAATTTATGTGATTATTATCAATTTTCTATTTTAATAAAAGTAAAATAAAGATAAAGAACTTAGAGAAATAAAAGGATCTATTGTTTTAACTTAATAAAATATTGCAAATATTTAAAATATTTAAAAATATCAACATTAATTTTTGATATTCTCATTAAAAAGAATATTTTTTTCATAATGCACTTCTTTTAGCTTGTTAAAATAGTAAGCATTATTAGTTAATAATTGATCAATTTAATTTTTTAAATGATGGTGGATTTATTTCAAAGATTTCAAAGATTTCATGCAAAAACTAATCAAAGAGAAATAATAGGAAGATTTAATACAAAAAATTCTAATTCCAGCTAATTCATTTAATTTTAAAGAACCAATGCTTCAGTTATACTTTAAAAAAAGACCATTAGATGCAGGGTCAAATTTTATTTATAAACAGATTCAAAATGTAAGTTAATTATATTTTATTTTATAAAAGTTTATAAACTTTTGATTTATTAGGAAAAGAAACTGGAATAGGTATTGTAAGCAACATATTCACTATCTAAATTTGGCATTGAAATTGATGGCTTTTTAATGAATCATTCTTGACAAAAAACATCAGCATAATTAATGCAAGATGTAAATGTAAAAGAACTGAATATTACTGGACATCAAAGTGTTGATGCAGTACGAAAATATCAAGTGGCAAATGATCAACAAAAAATGAATACCCTGCAACAGCTTATTTCTACTTACAATATAAAAGACCAAGAATCTCAAAATCAAGTTCAAAAATATTACTAATCAAGAAATTTATAAGCCTGTGCAACAACTTCAAGATTACAATTACAATCTTCTTAACTTTTATTTTATTTATAATCATAAAAGCTTATTTGCGATACGATATTCGTTTGATATATCTTGATAGTTGCGTCATGTTGAATCTGGAGAAATATCAATATGAACCGAACAATTAGTAAGCGGGTAATATGCGACTATATGTAAATTTTTTTATATAGTTTTTATATTAGGTTGGTTTTTCCTTATATGGAAATTTATAATATGTGACTATATGGGGTATTTGAACTGTAATTTCTATATATAGAGGTTCTAGTATGTTTTACAATTTTTTCAATCGAACAAATTGAATCAAGGTCCGACGATCTGAGAAAATTAAATTGATCTACACATTAATTTTAATTTATTCAAAGATCGACTTAATACAATCATATAAACGATAACTTTATTTGTAAAAGAATTTGATTACAAGATATTTTTATTAAACTTATTGGTGGTCGAAATTAGTTATGACAATCAATACCTTAAAGTCGTAAATCTTAAAACCGTAAAACCTCCAATCCTTAATTCTTATAATACGGTTATAGGAATTATTCCCGTAAAAGCCATAAATGAATTGTTGACAAAGCATTTAATATGTACGTACAATAATAACGTAATACCGCCCGGAATTATGTAATACTGGCCTGCGTTATTCAATCAAAAGGGAAAAGATTGACATAATCTCGAATAAAAAATCATTGTCAAATTGTCTTGTAATAATATTAAGTTGAAATTTTCTTTGTCCATTTTGAGGAAAGATCATTCAACATTTTTTTTATGATGAAACACGAGACCCTTGGCAGTAGCGATATCGAGACAATACGGGAACTTTGCAATAGAAAGGGGGGAAACAGCCGGAAAAAATCTATTTTACTTTATATGCCAAATATGATTTTTAAGTCAAAATACGTTCAGATTTAGCAATAACTCATTTTTTATTTTTTCCCCCTTTTCTATTGTAAAGATCCCATATGTTTAAAAACTGAAAATAACGTGACTAAAAAAATTTGATCTAACTTGTGTAACATTCAGGAGGTGGCTATGAAATGAAATCACTACGCCATTACCTCATTGGATATGGAACTACGATCGTCCAGTAGACGAACCAATAATTGGAAAAAACGGCAGATCAATAAGTTCCAGAACGATAAAATCTTAAAAACTCTTGTGACATTTTCGGACGAAAGAACTAATACGGGTAAGTTTGAACGATACTTTAATTAATAATTGATTTGAACCAAGAATTCTACACTTTCAATACTAATCTAAAAATAAAACTTGAAACTTTTTTTTTCATTTAAAGAAAAAGCCGCGTAAACTTATTCCCAGGCAACTTTTTTTAATATAAATGCACCCGTACGTTTGAACAAAAAAAAAAATGAAAAAAAAGAAACAATTAACAGATACATAAACATAATCTTCAAAATTAATTAATAAATAAAATCATCATCATCAATAAATAAATAAATATTAAAATCATCCTCATCATGGGTTTATTTCATACGATTTTCGGTGATATTAAACTTACCGATGTTTTGATCGGATTGTTAACCATAACATGTTCATACGTTTTTTATTTCTACTATAAATACTTTACTCGTCTCAATCCACTTCCCGGTCCGATTCCACTCCCGTTAATAGGTAGTTTTGCAATCTTCATGGAAGATATAGATGCTTGGTTCTTTAGATTGAACAAAATTTATGGACGTGATGGCATTTTCGAATTGAATATTGCTGGCAATAGACAAATCATTATGACACGTACCGACTATGTAGATAAATTTATGACGAGTAGTACTTCGTCGCACATCATGAGAACCGCGAACAATGGACTCTTGGACCTATTTGATCTTCATAATAAAGGAGTAGGGTTGAATCATAGTTATCAACATTGGAAATTCAACCGTCAGATCTTCTCACAGGCCGTCATGCCATTGAGCTTAACCAACAAGCCCAGTAACATCTTGAATCAATTGTTTGAAGAAATGGCAGGTCTTTGGATCGATTTGAAACCGGAAAACGATTATGGAACCACGATCGATATGGCCGCTTGGTTGCGTCGTTTCACGGCGGATTTCATATCCTTGTTGACCACCGGGAAACATATTTCCGTCATGAATCATTATCGTGGGAAATTGAAGCGTGATGTGATGACCGAGGAGATGATCGAATCCGAAGAGTTCATCGATTGCATAAACACCTTTGTATCGGACAATCAAATCATCTTCGTACCTAAAATTTTGAAAGACTTGCCTTTGATTAAACCTCGGGTGAATAAATTGTTAGATAATTGTGATCGGTTTTATAATAAATTGGTGAACATCATCCGAAACAGAAGAAAGGAAATTGAGAAAGAAATCAAGAGTGGTTTATTTAAGACGGAACAAATGGATTTGTTGACATCTTTAATCATTGCCAATACACAATATGATCCTAATCCTCAAAAAAATCTTGACCCAACAATGAACAAACTAATGACTGATGATGAAATCCGTGGTGTTATGTTCGACGCTTTTGTGGCCGGTACTGATACAGTAAGTGATCCAACACTGTCATTTGATTTCAATCGTTAATGCATATAGAGTATTCATGTATTTATTTATTTGTTTATTTTTTTTTTTTTTAGACTGTAAATACATTTTGTTTCGCGTTATATTACCTTGCACATCATCCCGAAGTTAAAAAGAAAATGTTGGAAGAGATTGAATCGATTTACAAGGATGATCCAACCAGACCGATAACTTTGGAAGATCTTGAAAAATTAAAATATGTCGAAGCGATAATCAAAGAAACGTCAAGGATAAGACCTACGGTCAGCATGATTTCAAGATATAGTAATAAACCCGATGAAATAGCCGGATACAAGTGGCCAACCAATACATTATTCATCATGTATGTTCGTGGGATTAACAACAACCCACTTTATTGGAAGGACCCCGAAAAATTCATTCCAGAAAGGTTTTATGAACCCCAAGAAGAGATGCCAAAGAATGCTTTTACAATGTTTGGTGGAGGTTTAAGAATTTGTCTAGGTAGAAAGATTGCAATCATTGAGTTAAAAACATTGATGGCTTTACTTTTTAGAAAGTTTGATGTTGAATTGATAGACATGGAAGCACCCCTTGAAGTTGAAACTTCAACGATCACCACCTGTAATGGATTAAATATCAAAATCATTCCCAAGGAAAAAATCATTTAAATGTCAGTTTCGAAAAAATTGTTCTTTATTTTTTTTTTATTTTTGATATGGGTGTGTCGTGTGATTCCGAAAAATTCCGAAACGGGGGGTTTTTTTTTTGCACAACCTATGGATTAAATAATTATTGATTAACGGATCCCCATTTAGCATTTAGCACAATGTATAATAAAAAACATAAATCTTAGAAAATAATAAATCTTTCATTATTAAAAAAAATAAAAGAGTTTCATTTTTACGTGTTTATTTTTGAATTAGGTATTTTATTTTCAGAACTTCATATATTCTTAAATCTTTATTATTAAATTAATAAAATCTTTTTAACGGAGGTGAATTTCAACTATCCGAAAAAAATTCTAGCGTTATTAAAATCACGTGACAAATATATTTACCGATTATTTTTACAATATGCAATTTTATTGGTAATTTAAAACATACGAGAATACATACCAATTTAAAAAATTTAAAACTTGTAATATATGTTGTCAATCTTACAGCTTATCGTTATGGAATAGTAATTTCACAATAAAATGTTTTTAATAAATATAATAATGTAGATTTCATAATTCCTGCACCATTAGAAAAACTACAGTCAGTCGCAATAGTTATACAACAAAAATTTTTTTATGTCAATTTAATGGAACTTGCCTAAATCGAAAAAATTGAAAAATTTGGAAAATATAAATTTAGATAATAAAATAATACAGTATATGGAATAGATAATATAGTATATTATTTATTTTACAGAAAGTGATAAAATATAATCCTGAAGATGAAGAGGTATTTAAGAGGTATTCAATATAATACTTTTAATACTTTTAGTGTTGTATAAACAAAGCTTTAAAAAATAACGACCTCGGCTTTGCTTATTTTCAATTTTTGGCGAACTAAAAGGAACTATTCTTTTTTGCTGAGAGGGAAAAAGTAAAAGATAGGAAATGGAAAAATCGGTCTTTCTATTGCTTAGAAATAGAGCAACTACTAATCAGTTTTGCCAATTTCTGGTAAGGGCTGATGAAAAAGTTAGAAAAGGAGTTTAAGAAGTTAAAAGTTCCAGGCTCATTAACGGAATCCTTTACGCGGTAATAATCATCATAAATAGAAAAAAGTAAAGAAATAGGATAAATCCTACGTGCATAATCAAGTAATAAAGAAGTACAACTAGAGATTATCATGTCATAATTTTTACAATAAAGCCAATATAAAATAAGTTGTGAAATAAAAGCGAAAGATATATATAAATAGTTATGAACACAAAAATCGAAAAGATAATACAAAAATCTAAAAAACAATTTTGTCGCAATTCCAAAAGTTATAGAACATAATATCAATAACTACAGAAATATTATTAAAGTTAATAGGATTGAAAATGTAACAAAAAAATTATTTAATATTTTTATACCATAAATTTAATAAAAAAAGCAAAATAGCCATTGGAGCTTGTAGGAACCGTGGTTGGATTGGAGCTTGTAGGAACCGTGGTTGGGTTTGAGCTTGTAGGAACCGTGGTTGGATTGGAGCTTGTAGGAACCGTGGTTGGATTGGAGCTTGTAGGAACCGTGGTTGGATTGGATCTTGTAGGAACCGTGGTTGGATTGGAGCTTGTAGGAACCGTGGTTGGATTGGAGCTTGTAGGAACCGTGGTTGGATTGGAGCTTGTAGGAACCGTGGTTGGATTGGATCTTGTAGGAACCGTGGTTGGATTGGAGCTTGTAGGAACCGTGGTTGGATTGGAGCTTGTAGGAACCGTGGTTGGATTGGAGCTTGTAGAAACTCTGATGCTTTCTGGCGTTAGGGGAGTAGATATGGGTGTAGGTTGGTCTCTCTCTATCTCTCTCTTATTCTCTTCTGTTCTATAAGCAATAACCTTTTTAAAAACACAGGCAACAACAATAATAGTAAATAATCCCATTTTTTTTGGAAGTCAGAAAAAATAATTCTAATAATTCTATTAAATATAAATTTTCGAATTAAGCAGATGAGATGAATAACAAATATTTGGGGTGCGCGCATGTCTCATATCTGATTTACTATAGCTTTCATTGCCTGAATGATACTGAATGCGACTGACTGTAACTGAATAATTTTTCTATGAAATTAGCTGTAAATGATTTTTATAAAATTTCCAAAATAAATGTTACATAGGATCGGCATGACGGAGTTTCTTAAGTATACAATAGCATATATATGTAAATTAAGGAAGATGGCTTACAGATCGACATTGGCAAATTCGAATTTGATCGAAAAATATCTTTTGCTTCTAAAATTAACCGGAAATGACTCTTTATATATATCAATTTAGTAAAATTATAATGTAACACAAAATTTGCTGATTGTTTCTTAGGCCGATCCAATTTGATGTTTAAAACAACGTCTCTTTAAAACATTGCCGAATTTGGAAAAAAAAATCAACAGTATAGAGCCTTTTCAAATTGACTTTTTTGACTTTTTTTCTTATTGTTTGTAACAATTAATAATAATAAGAAAGTCAAATTTAAACCGTTTGAATAGGCTCATAAATTCTATTTTTAATCAATTTGAAATAATGTACTACTACCATTTTTAGAGTTTAAACATTATTTTATTGTGTGATATAAAATATTATAATGATATTGAGAAAACTTTTTTCTGTTTTCTTTGTTTTAAAAATATGCATTTGATTGTTACAGTTAAAGAAGATGCTAAAAATATTGTTAAATCAACCCTTTTAAAAATTGATGATTATTACTTTGAAATTCTTTTTTAAAAGGTTACATTAGACACATATAGACAAAAGAATTTTGAAGTTTATTGCTGAATAAATATTAAATTTTTATAGACTCATATTGAAATTCAGATGAGCTTATTACAGAAGTAATTTAGTGATTTAAATCACTAAACTGAAGTTTATAATAGATTCAACAATAAATTAATTAGCTATGCCTATTTCATTTAAAAGAAATATATTAGATCTTATAATGTATTAAATCAGAAGCAGCTTCAAAGTTACACATAATGATCTACTATGATGCAAACGGCTTAGTCACATCAAAGGATTTTTAAGAATTTTAAAATGTAAAGGAATTTTTTTTAACATATAACCATTAAAAAAAATACATTATTAAATAGTCTTTGATATGTTCTTTAATATTACGTATCTTTTTTTTGATTTTATTATAAAAGTTTTTTGTAGTTAGAATTTTTTTAACGTTAACTTTAATAGTAATAGCAGGATTTTCAGCGCCTCCGATATCACATACTTAACATATGATTGGTTAATCATTATTCAATAACTTTACATGTCTCTAAATTCTTCTAAAACATTTGCAGGAATATGACGATGAGATTTATACTGCTTAATCGCAAAAACAGCTACCTTACCTAAAAGTCTAAGCTCATAAGCACTTATATAACGTGTAGAATGACATGCAAACTGACAAATTTTTGTTAGATTAACAGAATTTAATGTACGCGATACAATCTCCTTAAGGTCCTTGAATGTGTAGTTACAATGAACACATGAATACCGCTTTGCTTTCACCCAGAAAGACTCAATATAATTAAGTTCACAATGGAACTTCGGGTAGAATATACACATATGCTCTGCTACCTCAATAACCTAAAAGATAAGTATTTTTTTAAAAAAAATGTTAAATTGAATGTATAAATTGAATAATTTATTAACTGTAATTTACCTCTTGTATGTGTATCTTTTGTGATGCAAAGTCAGGTTGTGCAGAAAGAATACATATTACGTAATAGTCTAGTTTTATTAGATTAGGGTTGTGTTGCGTACATGTATTGAACTTTCTTTTCAAACCCAGTATCTATAAACTATGCTCTTCAAGAACTCGTCAAATACCTTTGAGCTTTACCACACCATCAACATCTGCAAATGTCATTATATGAGGCGAGTCATCAGACATTCTACCATTACGAAAGAGTGGTTATTTGCCACCATCTTTTAAGTTCATCCTTGAAACTACCAATGCATCATCAGCAAATGCATTGTAGTTGC